CAAAAAGGGGCCGTGGGGGGCTCGGCGGGGGCCGTAAATGTCGCCTCTGCCTCCTCAGCCTCCCCAGAACGCCTCAGACCGGCAAAAAAAGGGGTCAATCGCCTTCACGTCGCTCCAAGCTGCTGTTTCTGCACCGATTTAAACGTCCCTCGGCCATGAGGCTGAAAACACAAAATTATGGGGCTTTAAAGGAGGAGGGAAAGGAGAGGTGAGAGAAAGCAGCAGTAAAAAAATAAACTGGGGTTTAAAATCCATTTGAATCAGCCATTTAATTACCTTTTATCTCTAAAATTTGTCTCTAAAAACCCGATTCCCACCTCTGAGAGGAACCCATTGACCTGTAAGGGTCTGTGAGACAAAAAAATGGAGATAAAACACCGTGCTGCTTGGTGTTTGGAGGCGGAAATAAGCGAAATGCCGAAATAAATGAAAACCAACCCCCAAATAACTGGCGAGGAACCAGCGCTTGGCCCAGTCACGCGAAGGCGGGAAGAGCTGGTCCCAGACACCTCCAGCATCCTTCCCATCCTCATCGTTCCTGCTGCTCGTGGTTTCATCTCACTCTCCTGTGTCTGTAGGGATTTAAAAATGAGTCTCCGAACAACGAGATCGTCTAATGAGGAGCAGCCATAATTTGAAACCAGCCAAGGAGAGGAAAGTTCAACTAAAGAAACCCACATCTGATCGAACTGAGCTGGAGAGGAAGGAGCAGTTTTGTTGCTCCACTTACATGGGCACTGTGATGTTGACCAAGGCTTTGGTGGCTTAAAAAATAAACAAAACGCTGTGGTGTGGCAATAACTGTACGTTCTGCCACGGCACCCAGTGGCTCTTGGCACACTCACTGCACCCAGTCCTGTCACATCCCTCCTGACCGGTGTCTCTGCAAACACACAAATCCTTCCAGGAGAACACAACTTGGAATAAGGGCTCTAAGCACGCCTCGACATCTGCCTCCAGGAGCAGCAGTGCCCTCTTGAACACTAGATACACAAATATTTGAAAAAGTAGATCCATAGCAGAGAAAAAAATATTTTTTTTTTAAAAATGACATTTTCTTCAAGGCTTCAATTTGCTGTTGCATTAATTTGTATCTGTGAACATTTAATTTGCCAGGAGTACAAGCTGAGGGGCACATCAGCACGCCTGTCCAAGTAAACCTGCCAGATCTCAAAAATGTGCTGAAATGATTTTAAACCACTCCTTTTAGATTTGTCCTACAGATATATTTAACTTAGTCAACCAATCAACAGGTAATTAGGAAAAAAACTCCACTGAGATCCAGCAGCTGGATCCATGGGCCTTTTCAGGACTTAATTATAATAGACAAAGGCCCCTAATCACTAAAGAAAACTGGGGCTGAGGTCTTGAGCCAGGAGAAGAACAAGAGCAACACAATAAAGAGAATGAGAAAAATAAGCATCTTAATTCCTCACATGAAGATCCCCTCCCAGCAGCCCATTTGTTCCAGTTCCTGAGCAGGTGGTTTGGAAGCCCTGGAATGAAAGCAGCTCATTTCTCTCAGATTTGCACTACTGCTGTTTTTAAACAGAAAGCCTAAGAAAGCTCAAGTTCTAGCCAAAGCTGCTACTGCTGCTAGAACTGCCAACAGGGAAAGTTCAGGCAGAATTCCACCTGGTACGTGATGAGGGAACTGCCAACTTCTGACAAACCAGTGTTCACGTAGCTGGGATTAGCAGGAATTCTGTCATCACAGGTCAGTCCTCTGTGGGATTTAATTTATGATCTTTTCATTGGACACTGAAAAACAGAAACTTCAGGCTGCTTACAATGTGTAAAGCCAAGTGCAGAGGTCAGCAAGTTGTTGTTTGAGGAATCTCGGAACATTGGACTTTTTTTGCAGCAGACTTTCTTCAAATGATGGTCATTACACTGACATATTGCATCTGAGGCTCTGTGAATGCTCCTGTTTGGCCACAGAACCTAGTTTTGACAAATCATTTCATGTGTGAGGAATTATGAACAAATGGGGTATGTTTTCCAAAGTGCTTCCCATTCACATTTAATAAATACTTTGAAATAATGAGTTTCTTTTAAATGGGGAAAGAACACAGCACCACAAGCTACTAAGGGAAACGAATTGCAAGAGATCAAACTTCTGTGTGGGATGGGAAGCACTAGGATTTTTAAGCAAAACCTTCTGTATTTTGCAAACAAAACCAAAGCTGATCTCCAGGCCGAGCTTTCCAGCAGGCTGTTTTCACACCAAGCATTCCAAGCCATGGAAGAAGACTGGAAAGAAAACTACACAATGTCATGGTGAAATAGATAATCTTTAAAGTGAAAGTGAATACTCTGTACCTGGGACTGGGCATGTCCTGGTTCTGGGTCCATGTGACAGCCTCAGCAATTACAAAGCCCCAGGACTAGTCAGATAACACACCAGCATCAGTGTCACTGACATAAAACAATGAAAACCCCTTCACGTGGGAACAAAATTCCTACTCCTGGAAACTTTGCCATAGATCACCTGTCATCCTAAGGAGGGACTTTGCATTGCCCATTCAGCCCTTTTGCACATCTGCTGTTTGTGGAGGAGTGAGTGGTTTGTGAGGGGGACCAGATACCCCTGAATCCAGCAGGTTGCATCAAGCTCAGCTCAAGCAGGCTGCCCTCCTGCACGGGGGGAGAGCTATTCCATCTGCTGCTTCCTTGGAAAGGGCTTGTACTTGATCCACAGGCTACCACATGCTTAGCACACAGATCTCAACTAGAAAACGCTCCTGTAAAAATTTGAAGCAAAATAACATAAAAGCAAAAAAACACCCAATTATTTCTCTCCTTGTACTGGTGTCTCCAAGAGACAGGAACATAATCACTGGCAGACACCAGGTCACTGTCTGACCCTGCCACATCCCTGCTGCATAAATCCTCCTCGAGCTCTTCCAGGCTGGTGTGGTTTTGCTTCCTTTGCATCTCCCTGACTGGCATCAAGTCACAACTTAGATCTTTTGTTCAAATTTCTAGGTAGTTTGAGCGTGACGTTGATGGAATTGCTGGAACAACTCCTGGTACAATGGAAACAGGCAAAGGGAAAGAAGGATTATTTGTGGAAAGCACTTCCTTGGCAAAGTCTCAACCTGATTAATAATTTAGTAATTCTCCTACTCTGTGCAAAGTAGCACAGAAAATGTATAAAAGACAGTAAAAGAAAGCTCTAAATTACAACGTAATCCTTTAATACCTAAGATGAAGAACATTCACGGTGAAGTTAAATTGCTTGAAACATTCTCAG